ACATTTCTTAATTAACTGTATTCTATTCTAACAGCAAACCCTATTCAACATAGAATCCTGGACATTCTTATTCAAGAGAAACTCTTTCAAACATTCAATCCTAAATGAGAATACAGTTGAAGGGGAACAACTTTTTTCCCTTAATCATTACACTTCATTGCATGATTGTTTTGTATATTATATTTCAATATATATTTATTTGTTGATCCACAAGTGGAGTTTCGTTGTTTTTTTTCTTAAATCGTTAAATGTACAATAGATATATGCGCAAAGAACACGCATCACAGACCCAGTGGGGAAATCAATTTTTGGCTGCCACCCAAGAAACATATGTAAAAGGGAACAGAAACCTGTTAATAGAACTGTTCTATAAAGAGATAAATTATAAAAAAAATCCCCATTACATCAGTTGTTTGAAATTGCTAATGCTTCCTTTGTTTTGTGAATTTTTTTGTCCTATGATTAGGTGGGTGCACCTTTCTTTTTAAAAGATGTCTTATTCAAATTTTGTATTATCTTAAATTTTTTTTTCAATTTTTAAAGATTGTTTTGTAATCTTTTAAAATCACTTGTGTACTTTTTTTGTTATCAAGCTTTAATTCTTAAGGTGCACAAAAGGAAATTTGTGTGCAAACCAATCTTCTAAAATATTTTATTTAGTTATATTGTTATTCTATAATGGCTTCCCACCTCAAGGAGCTCCCAAACAAGAATAAATACAAAGTACTAAAAAGGGAAATGAAAAGAAGGGTGCTAAAATAAGTTTACCTTTTTAATTAAATGCAACAATCTGAAGCAAATATATAACATGACATAAACATGTTACTTACAGTCAATGAGGTTTGCACTTTACAAGATTACTACCTTTTGAACTAAGGTGAAGAGAGGTTGTCAATTACCATCTAAGCATATTTTTATTCCTTCTGGTGTAGACATTGATTATGGCACGGGTTGCTCTAACCTTTTCTCAGGACCAGACTGGTATCTAACTGTGGCAAGGGTCTTAATCCATCTCGGTTGTTCCGACTTTGCCAAGGGCATTAATTCATCTCACTTATCTGCTCGCCAAGTGGAGTGTTTTATTTAAATCCCTGCATTTTTAATATGTTTTGTAATAAATGTTTGTAGTTGAGAGACTTGTTTGTTTACGCCTTTGTTAATGTTCAGGGTGATAGAGAGGATGTACTTTCTTCTCTCAGAAAGGAAAAAATATTTTATTTTGGTACAAAAAAAAAGCCATTGCAAAAAATATTTTAATAACCAAATTATATGTGGGTGATTACCTCACCTTGTCTGACAGGAGACTTAGAAAGTAGCATTGTAAAAAGCATTATAAAAGGAAAGGGTACAAACTACCTCTCTTTTCTTTCACTCTTTAACTGCATCATGTTGTAGGGACACAAAGTGCCTCATTCCCCCTTTGGACACTTTCTAGCTCCCAGCAAGGCACATGCCATATTGTATTCAAGGTTTAGCATACTCTTTCCATTTGATTGTATTATATTACTATTATTTTCAATTCAGCAAATATTATTGGTCGAAAAAGATTTCAATACATTTTCTTTGTAATAGTTTCTTTCGACGGCAAATTTTGTGCAAAAAGTGGATCACAGAAGTTTCTATTTAAGTCTGATTGTTGATTGGTTGTTAACTGTAAAAATGTATACAATGCCTACGCAATCTCGTTTTCCGCCAAGATTTTTTGAACAAGTTTTGGAGCTGGTCACATGACCTAAAACAAAATAAATACAGCAATGTGAGCGGAAGCCTCAACACATTCCTCCTTTTCGTCCTTGTGCCATAATTGTAATTTTTTACAATAAATATCGTGAGACAATGAGAATTTAACTACAACTTACACTGCTACTGAATGCCTTTCTAACTCATCCTATTCTTGTTTGATATTTGTTTCCAGCAGTGAAATTTTTCATCAGTAATAATTTTTCTTGCAATTTTAGCTTGAGAGCTCACAGATCTCAAAACTCACACTTGGCACATTTTTATTCAACAGATTGCTCAGCAAGGAATTCTCGATAATTTATATAAAATCAACTCAGAAGTGTAAAGTTTAAAAGTTTCTCTTTAAACACAAAACACAACTTTGGTCTTCAACTTATATTAAAATTTTCTCTCACTCAACAAACTTTCAAAAATTTTCTACGACAAACTTTTACTGGAAGAACAACACTTTCTTCTTTGAAAACTTTCCTTTCAACTGGAATCTATTTTCGTCAAGTAATTTTAAACTATTATCTTATAAAAAGCATTTTACTTTTTAAACTCTGACAAAAGAAACATTTTAACAGACAAAGGTAGACAACTTCTACTGTATTCTTAATATTAAAATTCTTAAATAAAAAGATTTGTTTAAAAACAGTTTGTTTAACTCCGAACTGATTTATTCATTACAAATCCTATATTATTTGCAAACACTTCGAACATATTAAACAAAGACATATTTTTACTTGCCATAAAAAACACTTTTGTGTATAAAACATCAACTTTAAATTTTGCAACTGAGTATAAATTCCCTGAGTCATTTCATCATTCAACTTTGTATATTATTGTAATATAAATGCTTTTTATCTTTTATTATTTATTTAAAAAATATTGTTGTCCTATATTTGTAGTGTTTAAGAGCCTTGTGGCACACAAGTAGATTAAAATGTTCGTGGAGATGTTTTCATTCACCCAACAAAAGATAATACCTTCTGATCTACATTTTATTTAAACAAACTAATCACTCCACAACAAAGGAAATATTATCACTGCATTATCTCCTGTTAAGAAAACTCATGCTTCACAATAACCTCACCACAACATATCACATTCACATGTGGGAAAATGATATATAAATTTTGATATATCAAGAATGTATATAGTGGCGTGGGGCTTGGGTTTAAATGAACAGTTGATTTACCAATGCCACAAAGATTAATGGAGGATGATAATAATGAGGAAACGCATGGGTAATTTTAACAAAACAAGATAAAGAATTTATTCATAAATGTACACACTTCAAATAGTTGGTCTCAGGAAGCTAAATCAGAATTCTTAAAGTCCGTAGTCTTAATGAATTGTCATGAAGAGGAAATGTTCATACAACACATTAAATGATCTGACACAAAATAATATTAAATAATGTTTTAAGACAAAGATAAGAGAATTTGTTGCTCACCAAAAGGATATACGGTTTGCATACGTTCAAAAGTAGACAAAGAGACATAGTTTGAAATACTTAGCTTTCTTGGATTGTTAAGAGATAATTCTTTGAAATGCCATGTGCTGGTTAGAGGCCGATAATAAAATTGGTAAGTAATTCAATACTGGTCGCTATAAACAGAAACTAAACCTTTCATGTGAGTCCAGACACTCTTCTCTGATTAATTTAATTTTTCTTCTTATTTTATATCAAAAATAATTTTGCATCGGCTCGCTATCTTCTTTTCTTCTTCCTCAGATCACTGGTTACATTTTGTGAAAGACAAAAATCTTGTAGCCGTATTGACGGCCTAAATCAACCCGTACATTTTTTTTTTTACTTTATGAATGTGTAAGCAAACGCAAAAGCAACAAGAGAAACAACAAGAAGAAACATAAAACGGTTTTATAACCAACAAAGAATATTTATATTTATATCTGTAATGATGTATGTTTTCATAGCGTCCGGCAGCAAGAGGTAGAGATGTGATTTCTTTTACAACTACATTTTAGTAGCGAGAGAAATCAAGAGAGAGGAAAAAAAAACTCGTGTCTGGTATTTATAATCAACTTAATCATGTGATCAGTTCTGAAAGGCATAGACAACATTTGGCGGAATATTTTTTAGTTAGGTCAAGAACTAGGTCGATGTTATTCGGACATAGTTGAAAACATGATTTAAATATTAACTGACCAATTAGAAGTTGAGGTTTTCAGAAAATATGTATGAAGCTGGATAAGCTCTGTGATCCGCTTTTTGCACAGATTTGCACAAAAATCGACATTTGACAAGAAAGTAGTAGTGGGATGCTAAAATCTCAAATAGGCTCGTGAATTTATTTCCTGTTTATATGTTATTTTAATAGATACAATTTATTTAAGTAAATACTCTGTTTGTTTTTTTTAATAAACAGTAGATTTATTTTACTGGCTTGAATATTCGAGAAATTTCATAGAAAATATGTGCTTCTTTGACAGGAATCGAACCTGTAACCCCAATGATCAAATGATAACCTAATTCATTTCTAATATATATATATATATATATATATATATATATATATATATATATATATATATATATATATATATATATATATATATTCCTACTACTTCAAACGTTAATTTGTAGATATCCATGTTTGAGTAGCAGATGCCCTGTTTGCTTTTTTAAAGTATGAATTACATCAGCCAGACACCGCATTCAAGAGACTTTCAAATCTGCGCCCTCCTTTGCATCGTATAATCCGGTTAAGAAGGTCTGGTGTCACCTGTCTAAAATAAATTAAAACTTAGTTTGATGAAGAGGTGCTAAAAACTTCTTGGACCGACCAAGAACAGATTTATTCTGATGTTTGGACAGGCCAAGAACTTTTCAGCATATCATCAATAACTCACGATGGTGTTATTTACTCAGTTAAGTTTAGTACAAAACCACGAGCGGGGCCATCCAGTGAAAATCAAACTCTCTACTACACAGTAGTAATGCTTAATCAGACAAATTTGATGATCCCCAATAACCTGACTCTACAGAATGTAAGGGAAGTAACTCACGTAGACTTAAAATGCCGGGTAGTCCGTTCACGTCGCTTGTGTTTTTATAAAATAATATTAAATAAATTCAGATAGCGTGAAATAACTTTAATTATTATTTGATGGTTAAATAAATAAAGAGTTGGAACAATGTAATATATTTTATTTCATTTGAATTCGGTAAATTTTACTGAAATATTTTTTTAAAGACTCTAAGCGGCTGGTTCGGATCCATTCAGATTGATTGAAAACATCAACACGGGAAAATGTCGACTCTACTTGACATAAAATTAAAACGCGTAAATAAAGTTTATAGAGAAGGAGTAAGTAGCTTTTAACATTTTAATTATTAAATGGCATTTTTTCATATTAATTTGTAAAAAGTTGTTTAATCTTTCATTGAATACTTCGTGCGTTATTGAGAAAATGACCTGTAATTCAGGACTGATTTGAAGTGAACCCATGAAATGTTATTACTGAGTGTTTTAACTGTTAATTAATTTTTAATAAAGTTCGGTTAGATTTTGAAGATTTTTGAAATAATAGAAATAATATGGAGTCTTGTGATTTCCAGGAAACTATTTCACTTTGTGGATAAAATCAATTAATAACATTCTTCATTTGCGGATCATATGACTGAGAACTTGAGAGAGAAATGGGCGTTGACGTATGTTTATTTTTTTAACTTCATTAGAAATAAATTTCACTTTTGATATGAACAAATTTATACTGTTAAGTTTGGCGTTTCAAATAGTTTCTGCATATAAAACATGTATATACCTCACTTATTCCACTTAAATTTTTTGACCTAGACTCGTATTCTGAGCCCGTCTTTGAATGTGTTTCAATTTCAGTATTTCATGCATTCGAAAAAATAAAAGACCATATGATTTTTCAAGTATTTTCCCCTTATTGTAAAAAGTGAAGACTTTTTTTAAAAGTAAAATACATCGATTTATTTCGCTTTACATGGGAAGATATTTTCAGTCATTTCACAGAAGAAATAAAGGAAAAAATGTTCTTGTTTTTTTCGTGTTTTGACTTTTTGGGAACTTTGTTTTTTTTATTTTTTTATTTACGATTTACAATTTTTACATTCAATTCATTCATCTTAAACAACTTCTTAAAGGTTTTTAATTCTTGTCAATTGCCACTTTGGTTTTTTTTTTTTTGTTGCTTCACACTGTATTTTTTAAAATTTACTTTTCATTTTAAGTTGTTGTCCTCTAAAAAAAAACGTTTTCTGGTGAACAAATACTGCATTACTGCACATGATAATGTTGTGGGTCATCGGTGTTAAAAAAAAAAAAAATGAACAGTCGATTTACCCACGCCAAGAAGATTAATAATGTGTAGGATGATTATAACGAGGAAACACACAATTCTCCTTCTCCCCCAACTCACTGTTTAATTTCTGTGAGAGGTAAAAATCTCAGATCGGCTCACAAACTTATTTCCTTCTTTCTTAGATCTTCGAATTTGAAGTGAGTGGGTGAAAGTAGTTATTATTATTATTATTTCACACTCGCTTCAACATACTGAGGGCTCAGAATATGAGGTTATCTTAATAAAAAAGGGAGGTAAGTCAGTATTTGGTATGCAGAAATTGTTTCAGATGCTTATCTTGATACACAAATGTTTCTTAGTTTTAATGGGGAAAAATTATGTAAAAAAAATACAAAATAAAATAATTTCAACCACTTAGTGAGGAATAATCCTTTTCTTGATGACTTCAGTATGATTTTCAATAAAGGATTTTCACATATGTAAATCAGTCTTCCTATATACCATTGAATGCTAGGCAATTGCTTCATGGATGAAGAAGAGACTTGAATGTTGTTCTACAGAAGGAGGCTGAAAATACCATGGACCAAACATGAGAGCAACAATGAAGTTCTAGAGACAATGGCAACAAAAAGGACACTTATGGTTAACATTAAAAAGAGGCAGTTGAAATTTCTCTGGCACATAATGAGGAAAGAGGGCTTTCAAAATTTAATACTCACAGGACAGATTGAAGATGAGAGGCCAGGGGAAAGCAACACCAAGCCTACCTGGCAAGCTTGAGTGAATGGATGATGGAGCTGGGTTTGGGAGAGTTGGCAAAAAGAGAAAAGTTATTAAATGCTACAAATGTCAGAAAATTGTGGGGAGCCATAATCGCCAACATCCTGAAGGGACATAGCACATAGAAGAAAATTTCATCAGTCAACTTTCTATGTTGGAAATATAAGACCAGGAACTATTTTATAAAATTATTGACAAAAAAAAAAAAGTCATGATCATTTTAAAAAATCTATTTTTTTGTTTGTTTAAAAAAAACCCCAAAAAACCTTACTTTGTATTTTGAAGGGTTTTTTTTTTTTTTTTTTTTTAAATGTGTTCACCCCAAGCAAGGCAATAGAGCCACTAAGATGCAAGGGGTTACTGGGGTTTGGAAGAATTAGAAAACAGAAACATTACTAAGGAGTGGGAACAAAGGAAGAGTAATTAGCAGGACATCAGATAGTGATTGACATTGTATTTAAATTTTTGAAGATTAAAGTTGACTGGAAAGCATGGAGCCAAAAGAGTTGCTCAAGTGAAAGAAAAGAAACTGTTAGCATAGAACTTATGGTTACATCTAGCCAACTCAACTGTAAATTAATGAGACCTAATCACCAGTCTAGTATTGTGTTTAAATTCATAAAGTCTTTGTACCATAGCAAAGAGCTCATCCAAATAATTGCCATGAAAGTATTTGTAGAAAAGGCACAGGAAGGCAACTTTACATCAATGGGGAAATTGACTGAATCTGAGATGCCAGGACAGGACCAATAATATTGCTGCTGCTTTGAATTTTATCAAGAATCTCTAGTGGCAACAATATTCTGAGCATGGAAAAATGGTAGACTTAGATATACAAGATAGATTCTGGAGAGAAAAATTGTCTAGTATAACACACTGAACTGACTTTCCTAGCAACGGATTTAATATAGTCTTTCCACTTTATGTCAGCCAAGAAATTTAACCTGAGAAGGCAGAGTGAATCACTCTCCTGGAGGTTAGCATCAGCCATGATGATGGAAAGCAGAAAGTGGTCTCTCAGATGAAAGCAGTTTAGTTTTGGAGGCATTAAAATTAACAAGCCATCCTTTGCCCCAGTTAAACACAAACTATACAAATAAATCATCAAGCCTGTCTTCTATTTCTGTTGTGTGCTTGTGTGTTAGATCAAGGAAGTGTCAATAAAAATGAAAAACATAACAAAATAAATAAATATACTATTTCCTCCTTTTAAAGTAAATTTTATTTATTGATTTTCTGGCTAATGATATTATTTTGGTACCACCAGAAATTTGAACTATAAAAAAATCTTTAAAAATAAATTTAAGATAATTCAAATGTCTCCTTTTTTATTCTATTTGAAAGATAATAGCCTGACACTAATCTATAAAAAAGGTGAAGTAATTTAAGGCATTTTAGTAAGTCCTTAAAATATTTTCAATATTTGTCACGGTCAATTTATCACTGATTCACCATTTTAATTGATGACAAAATTTAAGTCACTTTAAAAATCTCTTAAAAATCAAATATTCATCCTAGATAAATTTATTTTCTTAAGACAGTAATATCCATAATATATTTTATTTACAGAAACAATTAAAGGTAATTCTAATTAAAAATGTTTTAGTTTTATCACATTTTTTTATTTTACATTTCAGGGCAGATTTTCTGTAACTGCAGTTCCTGTTTGGTCAAAAAATTTTGATTTAAATTTTCTGATGACTTTTCTTTATAAAAAATATATGTAAACATTATCTGATGCAAAAAAGAATTTATCAAAATATCATAAAAATTAAATGAGTGTGTATGTAGGGGGTACAGATTAAAAAAAAAGATTTTTTAAAAAGAAATGATTAAATATGCTATGCTTATCTATTGCCACCTGTTTTCTAGTGCAACAAAAGAAAATTGCAAATTTTCTGTTATTACATATTTAACTATATTCTTGTTTCTCTCTCTCTCTCTCTCTAATATATATATATATATATATATATATATATATATGATTTTTAAATTCCATATTGATAACTAAATTGTTTGTAATTGGGCTGATTATTCCAGGATGTTGTGTCAGGTGTCGTGATTATACAGAGCAAATCTGAAATGCAACACCAAGGGATCACCCTCACTGTAGATGGCGCAGTCAATCTTCAACTTAGCCCCAAAAGTGTCGGCCTGTTTGAGGCCTTTTACAACTCTGTTAAGGTGAGTGATGTACTGCTGAATCTCAATGGTCACTAATCTTTACTTTGTTACTTCTACCATTAAGTCTCTATCTAATTAAGTGTGTAAAATCTCAAACACAAGTTACAAATATAGATTACCTGGTAGTGATATATACATCTGCTTATAGTATATAATCTGATCCAATATAAAGATAAAAATACTATATTTTATAAAACATGCTGTATGTGTGTTATTTATTTATACTAGAAAGACCTGTAAAAATTTCACTGTTTTCCTATTTAAATTTTCTGATGAATCTTAATTCTTAACTATTAAGTTAATGATTGAATAAGTACTATGACAATAAAATTCCTCTATCACATCATTAAATATTTGAGCTTAACAACTTTAACAAAATATTGCAATAACAATCATAAATATGAATGTTGGATGCTATTTTAAGAAGTAAGTGGGTACAAGTGAAAAAAATTGACAATTGACAATTTTTTCCATTTATCTGAAGCAGATATTAAACACCTATCTTCCCTTCATTCTTTCATTTTCTCACTGAAATCAAGTAGTGTCTTTTCCCCAGAATAGTCCATTATTATTTATGAGGTGATGTAAGAGACATTAAACACTTTTATCTTCCCTTATTTCCTTCTTTCTTTCTAACTAAATTCCCATCTTACAAACATTTCTCTTAGTAATAACTTAAAAATAATTCAGCAGATGATGTTATTTTATTTAAAATAAGGAAACTGGATTTTTGTCGATTGCTTTTTCATCATTTGATATTGTGTCTGAAAAATGGTGCATCTTATCACAATCACTTCTCGACCTTTTAGGTGAGGTCAAAGTGTAGTATCTGTTCTTATTGGCTTAATCTGATTCTCTTTTTCTCCGCTTCTATCTTCTTCTCATTGAAACCAAATAATATTTTTTGCTCTCTTTCCACACAATCAAAACATGGAGTACTCCATTATTTATGTGCAGGGCATAATGGTGTGTGAACTAACAAAGGGAAGGACAATCACAGTTATAAGAGGATTTTTTTTATGATTTTTTTTAAAATTAGTAAATTAAAAATGCTTCTTGGTAAAGAGTTGGGTATAGTACTGGGTTAATTTGCAGTATAACACCATACTCAGCAAATGTTTGCTGTGGAAAGCTAAACGCGGAAGACAATGGAAAACTAAGCTCAAAACTGATCTTTCTTGTCTAAATTTGTCACAATTACTGTGCACGAAAACTATTTATGGAGACACGCTCAGTTTGCACAATGATGCCTACACTGATAGCTATTCTGCAGTGAATGTATACAAACAACACCCACGGCTGCCTGCAACGCGAATGAATCTAATGTCGATAACTCCAAAACGGTAGATCTTATCAAATTTATCAAGCCAGATTCGAATGGAGCATGTACAGTTATACATAAATGTAAGAATTCTGGAAATTTTTAATGCAAACTGAGCGCGGGTGTTATACTGCAAATTAACCTAGTACTGATTAGATACCATTAGCTTCCATTTTTTTTTTTTCTTTTTTCAGCCAATCACATTACTGCAGTATTTGGTGGATGTAGCCAAACCAGGCAAAATACCTGCTGGCAAGACTAAATTGCCTTTTGAGATTCCACTGAAGCCCAAAATGTACCGAATATTATATGAAACATACCATGGTGTATATGTCAGCATCCAGGTAAGGCAACTTTTATGTTTTTGTTTTGATTGTATTTTTTTTTTTTTTTGGTTTTTGCTTTTTATGCATGTTATAAATTTTACTAGAATAGGACAATTTATGTTAATAAAAGTCAATTACAAAAAAAAATTTAGTGAAATAATTAAAATTTGATAAATATTTGAATTAATCCTATTAATGCTTGATCTCTGATATTGAGCACTTCTTTTTGCAAAGACTGCTTTACCTTAAATGTCGTTCCTTTCAGGCCTCCACTGACTGACAACATTTCTGGCTTTACACTATCTTTGTCATTGCTATTGTAAAAAGATAAAAGTAACATTTATAATTTTATTACCATTCTGTTGAAACACTGGTTCTTGTCTGGTCACTGAAATTAAGCAAAGTTGAGCCTGGTCACGATTTAGATGGGTGACTGCTAGGGGACACCAGGTACTGTAAGCTTGAATGAGTGGGTGATGTGATGGATAATGGCTCAGAATGAGAAATCAGAGAGCTGAGTTCAAATTCCAGTCGAGTTTGTTACATTCGCTTACATGCAAATACCCTTGGGGAAAAGGTACGAATCCATCTCTTCTCCCCCAGCTAAATAGGACAGACTCACTCTTATAGACTTGGTTGGCAACCAGTCTTTTGCAGAATGTAACCCCAACCTATTGCAAGAGTCAGGTTGGTTGGTTGGGTTTTATGGCATATCAACCACTGTAGGTCATTTTAATGCCAAATTTAGTTTGAGATACATATATATATATATATATATATATATATATATATATATAAAAATATATAGTACTAGTAAACGTATAGCTGGCAACATTATTTTTGGACCTAGTTTGTCGCCATACCCAGGACGCGGATGTAGTTTATTGCCATACCCAAGACATGCAAGAGTCAATCATAAATTAAAGAGAGACATGATTGCTGAAGCATGCATTACATGTAGCACCCAAGAAAGAACCATTTTTATAATGATAAAACTTTAATCTTGTAATTATGTATGTATGTATGGGCATGTGGCTGAGTCATTAGAACATTTGCATTCTGTCCATGAGACCCGGGTTCGAATCTCACCATGGTCAATTTGTCAGAAAGGAAACTTCCTAATATTATTGGACTGGAGGGGTTGATCCCAGCATGCGCCACCTTTGGAAAGTGCCTGAAAACCATACCACAGTTTGACCCAAGCCTTGTGAGTGAAATTGGGTAGACAGAACCCTTGGGGGCTCATTGATAGCTGTGTTAGCATGAAGTCACAAGTCATCGTGACCGAGAGCTTGAATATGCTGGTTTTGTTCAAATTGCTGATCACACTAGATAACATGCTATTTCCCAGAAACTGTAACTAAGGTCTGCTCAACATAGTTTTAGCACAAACCACAGGTGGGCTCTGTGTGTGTTGAACAAACACAAAATGTGTATGAGCAAGCATCTGCAATAGGGATTGAATAGCCACCCTTATACTTTTAATACCTATCAAGTGCAGTGCCAAATTTCATTAAAATTACAGCAAGGGATTTTTGAGCTATGGCTGTTTTTCAGTTTTTATGACATCTTTAATAGTAAATTCAGTATTTGGGCTTATTGTTACTTGAATGGAAAGGCCTTTTGTTTCAAGAACTGCTTATAAAAGGAACCTAATGGGTTTATGGGTGGCCTAGTTCTATTCTAAAATGGTACATTCTTTCAGGACATGGCAATCTTGACTTCTGACAGATTTCTTTTTCTTGTCTATAAAGTGCCATGTGTTCTTGGGGAAAAATAGTGGACTGGTTTCCCATTGTCTTTGCCACAGTTTCAAACTCAGTTTTTTTTTCTCCTAGACTGTTTGCCATTCAAGCTTAGTGCAATCTAGCCCTTTATTAAGGAGTGAAGAAATGGATTCATGCCTTTCTGAAGTTTGTGTTGTAGAAGGTAAAATAATGTGAATGTTTGATAAAAAAATAAACGTAAAAAGAATATGACAACAAGAATCGGTCAAGATTTAAAAATGACAAAACTTCTTAGAGATTATAATTATTTTTTTGTTTTCATTTGCCTTTTTTAATGACTTTAAAAAGTTAACATGCAAACTTTAAAAAAATATATTTCTTTAATACCTTAGAATTTTTTTCTCTTAGGTCTTCCTAAAATTCTGTAGCTTTGCAAAAATATTTTCATAAACATCCATTTTTAGGTTTCAAGATTTGATTGTTAATTTTTGTATAGCCCTTTGCAATTGAGTATCTAAATCAGTGTTTCTCAACTGGTGTGTCCAGGCACACTAGGCAATAGTGTGCCTGGGTGCCCTAATGTGTCCTGAAACTTAGCCATGTCCCTTTTCTCAATGGATTTAAATCGGTCATTATTGGCAAAGAAAATTTGCAAATTCTTCATAAATCCCTTTAAATAAAAATTATACCACTAATCTTCTTTGTGAATGCTAAACTAAAATTTTACATTTTCAAATTTCATGACTAATTTTTTCCTTATTAATATTTAAAGTGCACCTCAGAGTTTTAGTTATTCTATCTCAAGAAAGATCTGTAATCCTGACTACACATCTTGACTTCAGTCACTTTCTCACCAATGTGGCTTCCCTGTTGTTTCTACAAATATTTTCATGGCAACTGCTCTGATGAGCTTTTTTTCCATGGTGCTCCGACTACATGAATTTAAGCATGCTACAAGCTTGGCATCTAGGTTCCACCCTTTTACTGTTAAAATAGCTAAATGCAACCATCATTTCTACCCCAACAGTTTTTTTTTTGTCATACTTCCATCTTTTGTAACTCCCTTTTGTTTACTTGCTTCCCTGATAACCATAATCTACAAAAATTTAAATGCAACATCAATCATTATCTTTTGTCTTCTTGAATCCCATTCATCTTTTTTTCTTTCCTCAGTGCTCCCTATTCTCAGTCTTCTCTTTCACTATCACTCCCTTTAAACCCCCCTGTGCACTAGTGGCATTACTGCCTTGCTTGGGGTGAAATGATTAAAAAAAAATGTGTGCACTGAATAGAATCATTGATCTAAATAATACTGATTGTTATCAACGTTTTCTAGAAAAGTTTTTTGAGCATTTGAATTGTACTGATTCATATTACTGTGATAGAATTCTGATATGCTACTTTTTTAGAAGACAACCATTCTATTTTAAAAGGCTTATTTTATTTATATATATATATTTTTTTGTTTACTAGTATATCATCAAAGCTGAAGTGAAAAGATCCCTGCTTAGTAAAGACCTCCAAAAGAATTGTGAATTCATTGTTGAATACAAGGTAAAGTTAATTTGTTTTTAAATATGTAAAATTACTAGAATTTACCATATTTCAAGGTAAGCAGAATTTTTTTCAAGAAAGTGTTTAACTAGAGTGATAATAACATAATTAATAAAAGTTCAACCAATTTATCTTTCTACTAACTTCAAAGTTATGCATACATACTGATCATCAAAGTCAGATAAATCTATTGAGTTATCACCAAGTACCATATTTATACTCTACATAAGAAATGCTAATCATAGGCTCCAAACAAACTTTGAAATTTGCACTAATTGAACTTTTATTAATTTATACATTATTACTTCCAAAAATTCACTAAAAAAGAGGATACATGAAAAAAAAACTGCACAAAACATAAAACAAAATCTTATAGTCAAAACCATTGTGTGATTAAAGTTCAAAGGATTTTTTGATGGAAAATTTTTTTTTTTCCTTTTTAGAACCTGGGTTTTTTGGTTAAAAATCTTGCAAAAGTCAGATAATAGTCAGATTTTAATGAGACTTTCAGGACTTTATCATAAATTAATTAAATTACATTTGAAATTTTTTTTTATTGAGTAAATCTTGACAAAAATATATTTTTTTTTCTTTTACAACTGTTAACCCCCTACCTCATTTAATTTTATGTAATGTCAAGAAATTCTTTTTTTTATCACTATTTTTATGTTAGTTATAATGCCTGACTTTTTCACCTAACCTCATGAATATTTATGAGAATTCTTAAATTTAAAAATTTTGAAAAATCATTAAACATTTTTGCTTTTGTATATAAACACGTTACAAAATGAAATCCTTGCATTTACCTTGATAAAGTCCCTCAAAGAATTAAATTTGTTGGCTAAGATAAGTTTTCTTTTTGTCTTTATTCACACACACACACACACACATATACATACATACACACACACACGCACATACATATATATATATATATATATATATATATAAAGATTGCTGAATACCAATAGAAACTCTTAGTAAATAAGAAAGACCATCTGATGTTATGTAATAATACATTTCAGCTTTTGAAAACTTTGGAAATAATGTCTTCCTGTTAAAAATGTATTGGCTATATTTCTGTTTTAGGAACAAGAAGAACATGCAGTGACAAAAGCAGTCCCTTTCACAATCAGCCCCGATACATTAACAAATATTAAAGGAGGGGTGAGTACAATTCTTGTTATTAGAAGAGAATGCATTGAGAGATTTTGTGTGATATTTTGAGAAGAGTTTAAATATCTGAGAAATGTTTTAACAGAGAACAGAAAGTACGACACTGAAATCTGAAGGGGTAGTGAAAGATGCCTTCCAAAAGCTAAGCAAAGTATTACGAGGCAGAAAAATTTTATCCAAAACAAAGAAAAGAGTACTGAAATGTAATATGTATTATCAGTCCTCTTATATAGCAGCAAATGCTGGACAATCTCCTCACAGATGAAGAAGAGACTTGAAGCAACAGAAATGTGGTTCTATAGAAGGATGCTGAGAATACAAGGGACTGAACATGTGAGCAATGATAAAGCTTTAAAGAAAATGCAAACAAAAAGGACACAGGAAGAGATAATTGAAATTTCTCTAGCACATAACGAGGAAATAAGGCTTGGGAAATGATACTCACAGGATAGATTGAAAGCAAGAGAGACAGTAAAAAAACAACATATAACCTACCTAGTGAATATATAGCAGAACAAGATTTAGGAAAGATAACATAAAGACAAAATTTATTAAGAGCTACAAAAGACAGGAAATTGTGGAGAGCCATGATTGCTTACATCATGAAAGTATATGGCACATAGAAGAAGAAGTATCTTCTTTTCTGTTCTGTGTCCCTTCAAGAGATTGGTAATCATAGTTGCAGAAAGGACCAATCTAAATCCAAGGACTTCTCACTCCTGTTGGAGGAACTCTTCAGAGGTGAAGTTGCATTTACCATACTTGTCTAATTGCAGGTTAGTTAAGCTATTTAACCCATAGTTGGAGGTTTTGAATTAGTTGTTGTTCTTATAGACTGGTTGCTATCCAAGGCTATAGAATTTAGTATATCCTGTTATTTAACCTATAGCTGAGGGAGAAGGTATGGAACCATGTTTCCCAAGGGTATTTGCATGTAAGTGAATGTAACAAACTCAAACGCATCCTTGTTTTATGCCACTCTCAATAATGAAGGGTACTGAAGTTTCAACATCACAGCTAACTACACCCCACATGTTCTCGTAAAAGGAGGTGATGATGCTCAACTGTGGGAGATAGCAAATCGAGACGGGAGTGCTGAGTCAGCAGTGATGAAATGTCACTCATCTCCCATGAACTTTGTCTTCTCTCCAGCGGAGATTCAGGAAACTTTGGAATGGTTTGAGTAAAGCTGAACTTTGGTGGTATGCCCTCTTGACCTGATGCTTTACTACAATCTAAAACATCAATGGCTTTGCTAAGCTCTTCCATTGTAGGCTCAGAATCAAACTCTTCCAGCACTGGCAGACCCTCAATAACATCAAGCACTTCTTTAATGATGGAATTTTCTCTTATGTAAATTTCCAGTTAAGGCTCTGCCCATCATTCCCTTTGTTTGTCTTTTTCCATAGTTAATTTCTCCATCTTTGATTACAGGGGCATAAACTTTGCCAGTTGTTTGTTTAATTGCCCTCGGATATGTTCTATATGTTGCTGTTCATTGAAGCCTGTTGGATGCTATCTGACAGATGGAGCCAGTAGTCATTTGCACAGTGACATGGAGTTTGTTGGGCCTTGCTACAAGCAACTTTCTGAGCCTGTTGATTTTGTTGGCTAGAGTCACAATTATATCTAATTAATACACTGCTCTTAGCTTTTCCAGTTGAATCTATTACATTCATTATGTGCTAATACCCCTAGGAAAGGTATGAATCCTCTTTTTCTCCCCCCAGCTATGATTAAATAACAGGACAGACTGGATTCTATAGCTTTAGGTGGCAACTGGGCTACCACAGAAAGAAATAGCAACCTACTGCAGGAAAATTCTGCCTTGTCAGTCATCTATCGAAAGATACATGATCACCTAAGCATGTATCACACATGGCACATAACTGACTGACTAGATTGGCAGTAAGGTCTGAATCCTCTTCTAAATAGCAGGGCAGACTGGGTTCTATAGCCTTGGATGGCAACTGGGCTATTGTAGAAAGAAATGACAGCTTACTGCAGAAAAATATCTGCCTCATCAGTAATGTATTGAAAGATACATGATCGCCTAAGTGTGTATCCTGCATGGCACATAACTGACTGCTCTTAGCTTTGATGACTGGTTCTAATGTGGAGATGTTAGCCTCAAACCAGTCTTTGTTCTTGTGTACCTTCTTTCCATAGTGCAAGATTGCAGCATTGTAGATGGTGTTCTGAAGTGAGTTCCATATGTCTTCCACACACTGTGATGAGTCTCCACAAGCCTCTTTAAGAACTTCTGGTTTTTATCTGTGATGAAGAATATAGTTAATTATACTTACTAGTTCTGTTATATTACATCAAGTACTATTTTATTAACACCAGCATTCAATGGGCAATATCTTCTCTGTGTGTTGTGTATGTATATATATAATATATGATTTTAATCTTGTGCTTAGTGGGACAAAAAGAGTCCCAACGCGTATACAACCCTGCGAAAGTAGGTTTTCTATAAAGAGAAGTGAGAAAACCTGTTAATGTACGATGTACTAATACATCCAAAAAAGCCAATTGAAGATTGGATTCCTTCTCAACAGTAAACCTCAGTGCTGGATGGATACCATTTAAAAACAAAAGAAACTGATCAGCCTCAACTTCACTGTTGAATAAACAAAAGGTATCATCAACATACCGACAATACATTTGAGGACAAAGTAGACTCTTTCGTATCTTTTCTTCGTGAAAGCCAACAAATATGCGAGCCCATAGCAACTCCATCAATCTGTTGGTACATGGTGTTGTTGAAACTAAATTTGACGGAGGATGTGACAAATTTCATCAATTCACAAAATATTGACTCAGGAATACTAGGTGGAGTCAATGGACTGCGATAGAGAAAATCACAGCAAATATCGATGGTTTCCATTAGAGGGACACAAGTATACAGGGAACAGACATCGAAAGAGCACATGAACTTACCAGAAGAAGACAAATTTGAACGCTGGATTCGGCGAAGGAAAAGAATCCTTTATACAATATCCATCCAAGCACTGCAACACAGGTTCCAAAAGTGTGGAGAGGCATTGGGCTACCTTGTGTTGGGCTGAACCGATCACAGATAAAATTGGTCATAATGGTACACCTTCTTTATGGATTTTCGGGAGACCATACAGACGAGGATGAATCGAACTAGAAGGACGGAATTCATTGGCAATTTCTTGTGGAAGTAGCCCAGACTTTACCCACTTCAGAAGTGATTTTTGAAATTTTGCTTCACCTGAAGTAGTTCCATCACAGGTATCAGCAGAACCAAGTTTAGTAAATTTTGAAGTATCTTCTAAGATGGACAACATTTTGGTTAAATAGTCTGCTCGATCTAAAATAACTAGTCCAGTACCTTTATCTGGTCTGGAAATTATCAAGTCATAATTATTCCTCAGAGAATTAACAACTCGCTGATATTCTGCTTTCCATTTGGATTCAGCAGTTGCAACAGAGGAACAGGAAAAAGTGTGTGTGGAATTATTTATCTGGGCTTTCAAATTGCTTACTGCATCAACAGAAGTAGGAGACAGTCTTGCCAACTAAGCATAGAAAACCTCGAACACAGAAAAAATCTTCTCCTTGTCAGGCATAGAGGGTGGAATGTAAAAGTCCAACCCGTCAGAAAGAACAAAAGATTCTAATTCGGTTAGTTCATGCATGGACAAACTAATATTATTTAAATTTGGTTCAGCTGTGCCTCCATATTTCTTTTGAACCAAACTTTTCAACTTGGCATCCTGCTTTGTAGACAATTTAACACACTGCTGTTGATGGACAAAACCCAAAAACCTAGAGAACCTAATCCAATCAAAAAATGAAACTGAATTCATATGAGAACATAGTAATCTCCTGTAATCATGCTTTAGACCAAGGCTTCTAGAAGAAAGATGTTGAATCCAATCTTTAATAAAAACAGACTCAATCAGGATGTAACTTAGCCCTCCTCACTCTGAATTGAAGAAGTTCTTAAAGAGGGGCAAACCTGGAAGTGGATACATTGTTTAAGAAATTTAATTTCATACTCAATAGATCTTAATTTCGCCTTAATCTGTAATATTTTATTTAATTTACAAATTAAACTATGACTGTACCTGATTTTCAGATATTTAAAGATATTTTTGTAGGCACAAAATTTAATGATCGAAATAAAAGTATAAAACTTAATATTATGAGACATATTAAAAACGGGCGAAGCAACTGGTTTCGCTCCCGCTCTTCAGGCTTCAACGGGAAATTTAATTTAAAATTAACACAGAAAAATGTACAATAAAAGGAAGTTGTGGGAGGAAAAAAAAAGAAAAAAAAAAAAAAAAAGAGCAAAAGGAACAAGAGACAAATGACAGCGAGCCCCAACAAACACTCATGTTGTTTACACAAAGAAGGCTTGCGGGACCCGATGTAAAGTGCCTCCAGAGCCTTTAGATGAAATAAAGAGTGTGACCGGGACAACATGGTGAACCAGTCATCGCTAAAATTTGGCTGCACAATCTCTGTTCTTTAATAGGTGTAATAGGTGGTCGGGACGAGTCCATTCAAAGGCAGGGTGTGATTTCTAATTTTTGTAGGAACGTGCTGCTTTATTCTCATGTCTAAGCGCTGAGTTGTTCTCCCTATGTAGTTGGCTCCGCAACTACAAACGTATTTATAAATAATTGAATTAATTTGATGGGGAAGGAGAACGTCTTTACACGCAGAACGAAACATAGACCGAGTTTGAAAAATAATCTGAACTTTGGCAGAGAAAAAAACAATGATGAACATTGGATGAAATTTGTTTAGCTATTTTTTCACATTTGGTACCAATCCAGGGTAATCTGAGGTAAACTGGGCATTTTTTAACAGTGTAAAGCTCGGCACTTCTGAACTCTTCAACTTTACTGCGGATAACTGAATTAACAGTATCAAGAGGATAACCCAAACTACATAGGGTATCCTTAATAAAGTCGATTTTGTCGTTCAAGAAGGTCTCAGAGCAGATCTTTAATGCTCTATGTAGGAGGGTTTTAATAATGTTAATCTTGTGCTTAGTGGGACAAAAAGAGTCCCATCGCGTATACAACCCTGTGAAAGTAGGTTTTCTCTAAACAGAAGTGAGAAAACCTGTTAATGTACGACGTACTAATACATCCAAAAAGGTCAATTGAATTATATATAATTCTATGTCATAATGATATATAATTTTGTATAATTTTACATATCAACAAAGAGTATTTAGAAAAATAGTATGACAAATTGGAAAAATGTTTTTTCAGTGTGTCATACTATTTTCTAAATAAAATTCTATATAAAAAAACGAAACCAACACTAAATAAAATTAATTATGATTATAGTAAGAAATGTTTTAAAATGTCTATAAAAGAAAAGCAAAGTTTTGGGATGCTCAAATTGTAAAAGTTTTTTTTTTTTTTTAAAGGATTTCAGGTTGAGTATTTTTAAAACATTAACAATAAAAAATTTAAACTAAGTTACCTCCCTTACATATTCTTCATGTAAATTAACTAGCACGGAGTGTTTTATGCACATTTAGTAAAAAATTCGCAACTATCAATTACATTAATTTTATGTCTTAGCAATTCACCCCTGAAAATGATCCTGGATGAGATTGGAAGTATTTGGAAAAATGAAAGAAATAACCAAAACTATGTCATCTTTCTTACTCAGTTTTGTAAAAGGACTAAGAAGTTGTTCCATGAATTTGAGAGGATTAAAATAAAAGTAAATTAACGTATGTCTAGATTAATCAACCAAACATGCTTGAATGAAGATATGCTGCCTAAATATATATATATATATATATATATATATATATATATATATATATATACATACATACATACAAATATACTTGTTTTGAAAAACCCTCGAATTTTTGATTTGCCACTAATCAAATCAATCTCGAGGGGAAAAAAGGTTTTAAAAAAAGAAAGAGCTACAAACATGAAAGTCTGTCGAAAAAATCGCTCAGATGCAGCTTTGAAGCCCAAAGAAAAAACCCCGATACAAGTAAACAACTAACAAAAGAGCTCAATACAACCATAGAGCAGACCTAGATACTATATATATATATATATATATATAAAAAATGGACATTGATATCAACACCCTGAAGTGACAGTCAGTTTCATGCTAAACACAATTGTCAGGCTTGACAATTGCATTTAGCATGAAACTGACTGTCACTTCAGGGTGTTGATATCAATGTCCATTTTTATATTTACATCTGCTCTATCTTTGATATAGACCACTTTAACCCATAAATATATCATACCTTAAAACTATATTTTATAATATGCAGGATGTGATGGATAAATTTTCGTCTAAATTATGCAAAAATGAAAATAATACTGACATATCGTTTGACAGATATATTTACCAAAATATCACAAAAATATCTCGAAATACTAAAGAATAAATTTATTCAATAAAATCTCCATTGGCTTCAACCACGGTCTCCAGATGGCTTTGGAATCTCCTGCATTTCTTCTGGATGGTCTCCTTGTTTAAGTTGGTGAATGCTGCCATAATCCATGCCTTCAGTTCATCTTTGGTCTTACAAGGAATTTTGTTGGTCTATTGCTCAACTGCTCCCAACAGTTAATAATCAAGGGGATTGCATTATGGGGAGTCAAGTAGCCAGATGTAAGGGGTGATGTTGTTGCAGAAATTGTCTGACAGCCATGACTGGGTTTTCCTGCTTGTGTGGAATGGTGCAGAGTTCCAATGCCAGACATAGTTTTCCAGCAGCCACTCTCTTGACCCTTGAGCATGTCGTTTATGAATTTCTGGCAGGATGAATTGTGTCATGGTACTCTTTTTCTCATGGATGGTGCCCAACTGACCCTACTATACTGTGCAGTTGACAAAATCTAAAACAATTTGCATGCACAAAATTAAAAATATGAAATGGTGACAATTTACCCATCGCACTCTGTATGTGTGTATATATATATATATATATATATATATAAAATAAAATAGTAGGAAAGAACAATGAGATTTATAATTCAGAGTTCTTAGCATTTATTTTTATTTTTAAAAACTGTGCTCAATACAACAGTTGAGCATAATATTATAATTGTTTTTTAAAAATATATAATCATCCCAACACTGAAATTCCCATGTTTCAAAACTGAAACCTCTATTTAAATTCAGTTAAATTGAGGTTTCAGTTTTGAAACATGGTGTTGCGATAATTATATATTTAAAAAAAAAACATATATAAAAAAACACACAATCTCAAATCGTGTATATGTTTAAAATGCAACCAAAAATATACCTTCACCTAGTAAAGATTTAAAAGTAACACTGATCATCTTGTCAGTAGCAGAATCTCATTTCTGCTTCATATATGATTTTCTCTTCTAAACCTGATTAGTCATTTATTTCTATTTCTTCATTTACAGGAAAAGCATGTGCCTAAATTTAAAGTTACTGGTGTCTTGGATTCATTATCTGTTTGTATCACAAAACCACTAACAGGTGAAGTGAGTACCTTTCTATTTTATTTCTAAATGTGTATGCTACAGTCATTTGTTGAAAAACACCTGGCACAATTTTCTTCATATTTGTCATTTTTTTTTTGATTTTGTTGTACTTCTCTATGTTGATTCTATTCAAATCTGTTTCTTTCCCTAACTATATAAAAAAACGAAAAACTGACCTATTATTAATGTCATTAACAGGTGAATAGTGAGTACCCATCAGATGTAATTGTTTTAATTCCAACACTTGCAATCACTTTTGATCAAATTCTTCAGATCATGAAATTGAGTCAATACTCAGCATAATCAAATATTTTTTTTACGAAATATCGCTAGAAAGACCCATGAAAATTTCACTGTTTTCCTATTTGAATTTTTTGATACTTAATTAAGTTAAGGATTGAATAAGCTCATGGCAAGTTCTACAACAAAAAATATTTTAGAAATTCCCTTATCACACTGTTAAATATTTGAGCTGAACAACTTTATCAAAATATTGCAACAGCAATTATAAATATGAATGCTGGTTGTTATTTAAAGAAGTATGAGGGTACAAATTAAAAGATTTGAAAATGACAACTTTTTCCAGGTCACTGAAACTGATGTCACACACATGAGTGTTATTGCCTCTTCTATCTTTCTTTCTTTCATTTTCTCACTGAAACCAAGTAGTGTCCCTGATATGTCTTTTCCATCTTTCCACACAATCAGAATGGAATAGTTTGTTAGTTATCAGGTATTGGCAGGAGATGTTAAACACTTTTATCTTCCTTTCTTTCTTTCTTTCTTTCACTGAAACCATGTAACGTGCCTGGTATGTCTTTTTCGTCTTTCCATGTGACCAAAACAGAATAGTCCATTATTTACAAGGTATTGGGCAGGTTGCAACATACATGCTAAGGGCCTAAGGGAGGGACAAGCAGAATTATAAGATACTTATTGTATGAGAAGTATGTGAGTTTGAATTCAGCAAAAATCCGAAGGAACAAATCTTTTTGTCTACTGCAGAGAGCCGCCTTACCGTGTGCACTTCAAAAATTTAGTGCAAGTAATATGAGCTCCGTTAAAAAATGGTATCTGAGACATTAGGTTTATAAATCCCAAAAATTCACTTCCTTTCATATTTAAAAGTCTGCTAATCTTTCATGCATTGAATATTGTTAATATATCTGGTTTGGTGTTTCCATTATGTATCTATAAAAATCTGAAATATTATCAGTATTGATGTGGCATCTCAGCTTCAATCACTTGAATCACTCAACCAACACTTTTATCCACATGGCCCAGAGGATAAAAGTGTTGGTTGATTGATGCAAAAGAGTTTTGAGTTCAATACCTCACTACAGCAAGGGGAACAAAAACTGGAATAGTTGAGTTACCAAGAAAAATTAACTGAAACTGCAATATCCAAAGGCATGGAATATAGACAAGAATTCAGTTTGAAAATTCCGACTAATATCACTTGAAGAAAACTGGAGCAAACAACAGCTGTCCCTCTTGCCTTCAATCTTTCATGTGAGTGTCAAATTTTCCAAACCCTCTTTCTTCATGATGTGCCATAGAAATTTCAACTATTTCTTTCTGATGTTAAGTATAAGTGTCCTTTTTGTTTCCATTCTCTTTAGAACTTTCTCGTTGCTCACATGTTTGGTCCATGTTATTCTCAGTATCCTTCTGTAGAATCACATTTATGTTGTTTAAACTCTTCATCTGTGAAGAGATTGTCCAACATTCACTGCCATATAGGAGGATTGATAATACATAATGATACATTTTGCACTGTATATTTGTCTTAGCTCAAAAATAAAAATAATTGGTTGAAAAATGATGTTATTTTTAAAGTGTCATCTATGCAGAAAAAAAAAACAAACATTAAGAGAATTTTTTCATTAAAGTTCATCCAATACAAGGTCCAAGAGCCACTCAAGGTAGTGTTACTGAAAGAGGTATGTGATATAAACATCAGAAGAGGAAATAGGAAGTAAAGACTATGAAGATATGGAGGATAGATAACGACTGACCCTTGACATGAAGAGATAAAGATTGTAGTATTTAGGGAAGCATCTCCACAAAGTAGCCGTTCTAGGGGAAGAAGCTTTCTGTATGGAACATCATTCTTACCAATTGAATACATAAGCCTGTGGACATAACAAGATGAGTCTTGGCTGAAAAGGTCTGAGCTGATGGCACTAAAGAATGGAGTTTGTCTGAACATTTGCCATGGAAGTAGCAAAAGTTCCACCAACACAGAACAAAATGTTACTTAAAAATTGTTATGAATTTAAAAAGTCTTGAAAGTTCTTAAGTATTTAAGAATATTGTAAAAAATATAATGATTTACTTTTCTCTGATTTTACTCAGGAATAGAACAGAAAGAAAGATGTTGAACAAAAGACAAGGTTTCCTTACTTCAAATAATCTGAGCACTTCCAGCATTGTAGCTCCACACCGCCATCTATCATAAAATCATTTGTGAAAGAACTGAATGGGAATATTGCTCTCTTCTGCTAAAAACTGTCAGTTATTGGTTCGTTTATATATATATATATATATATAATCAGCAGCATGGCCCATGCTTGATTCAAAATCAATACGACTCATTACAGCAATTGCTATCACTTGGCTTAAAATATTTTTGCCCTTCCTTGCCTTTAAAGGAGTGCCCTTTGCCGTGCTGATGTTGCTACATGCCTTACTTCTTGCCTATCTCACACTGCGAATTTTTTCTAAGCTCTATACTAAACATTAAATCTGTTATGAAAAAAGAACTAAACAAAATGGACACAAAATGATCAGCTTTAAAAAAGGACTCATAACTGGAAAAACCGAATGAAAAAAGAATGTTAACAACAAATACTTTTTCACACCGAACCCAGTTCTGCGGAATCAAAATCGGAAGTCTTATGTGGCCGTATTGGATTAACACATAAGATCTAATGACTGATTCACATACAAGATGCAGGTTCAAATCCTGCAAGAGGACATATATTTTCTGACAAGATTTCTCAAATATTCAGGCTGGTAAATGTAATTAAATAAATAAAAAAGATACTGCTTAATTAAAGAAACAGAGCATTTACTTGAATATGAGTAGCCATCTAAAATAACATTTAAGCAATACAAATTAAAATCTGTTGGTCCATTTCATAATATATATATATATATATATATATATAAAACATTTCACCCTAAGCAAGGCAATAAAGCCACTAAGATGCAAGACTGAGTGTGAGAGAATGAGAAAAAGAAAACATTAAGTAGAGAGAGAGAGAACATTAAAAGAACAGGAATTAAGAAAGAATATAATGATTCACATTTTCATTTAAATTTTTGAAGTTGATTGGGAAGTAGGAAGTCAGAAGAGAATTCCACAAGTGAGAAGTGCAAGAGAAGAAACTGTTAGCATAGAACTTATGGTTACGTCTAGCTACTTCAACTGCAAAATAACAAGACTGTCCCACCAATATAGTAATGCACTAAAATTTATAAAGTCTAGCTACAATAGAAGAAATTTCATCAAAACAATTACCATGAAAATATTTATAAAATAGGCACAAATATGCTACATTACTTTGACAGGAAAGCAACTGAAGGCAAGATGCCAAGTCAGGACCAATAATATTGCAGATTCTTCTTTGGATTTTATCAAGAATTTCTAAATTTATAGCAGAAGCACCAGACCAGATGTGACAGCAATATTCAATGACTGAAAAAAATGGTAGACTTATGTGTTAGATACTGTTGAGAAAAATTGTCTAGCATGATACACACACACACACACACACACACATATATATATATAAATAAACGCTTGCTTGTACATTTACCTATATTTATACATTTGATTTTATATATATATATATGTGGGTGTGTGCATGTGTAAAAATTTCTCATAATTAACCTGTAGAATTGACCTGTCTTTTCCCTTTTATATAATCTCATTGGTGACTCTGATGGTCAGACTTAGCCCGGGTGAGTCAACATTCAAGTATATCTATTTCAAAGCAACAAATTTTTTTCATAGGGTGTTGTTTTCATTCTTGACTTCAGCTAGATCCCAAATTAATTGTTGACTGCAATACATTTTCTTTATATTATTCATAAAAAAGAAGAAAGAAAGAAAAGTAAAAAAGAAAAAGAAATATAATTAATATGGCTAGTCTGACTGAGTAGGTCTGAGCCTGATCAAAGCTGGGGACATAATTAATAGGCAATGTATTTCTTGCTTTAATTTTATAAATAATCTTTTAAAAATCTCTATTGACTTGTATGACCAATTTTTCAAAGAATGCATTTTTATTTCAACTTATTCTTTTCAAATGTCCATTTTAAATAATTTATTCTGTACTGTATAAGGTTTTTTTTTAGTAGAATGTATCTTTTGAGAAAGGGCAATTAAATTTAGTCTGACCTTCAATTCATTGAAAATTAAAGTAGCATCCTTAACTTGTCAACTGGAGGGTGATGTCCTGGGTAAGACGTTAAACTACATCCAGCAGCAAGGCCTCTGATCAGGAGGTTTTGAGGAGCGTGGAGCCACCTCTTAATTGCTGGTGTTCCCAGGTCCACCCTGACCCAAGGTGGTAGTACCTGTTAGGGTTCCAGCTATGGGCAAATAGTTAACTATTACCAGCAATACTTTTTTGAAAAAAATTATTACCAGCAATACAATTTTGAAGGAAATATATTACCAGAAACAGATTTTTGACAAAACAAAATATTACCAGCAATAAAAATTTTTGTCAGCATTAAATAACCCATTGAGTTTGATATGCCGTAAAATAAAATAAACCAAACCAATCTAAACCAAAGAATACATACTCTGTTCATACAAATCTATCCTAAAAATGTTGTCGGCATTAAATAACCCATTGAGGTTGATATGCTGTGAAACAAAATAAACCAAACCAAACCAATCAACTGGAGGGTGAGGGTGAGGAGTGTGATTGGGTAGTGTTGAGGAAATATGATATCAGTTATTAGTACTACTGATCATAAACTTGTACAATAAAATAAAAATTCACAGAGAAATACGCTAACACAGACATATATACAAACACACACTTGAGATACATGTTATTTTTTAAAAAAAACAAATATATCTGATTTTGTTTTCACTCTTTTTTTTCTTACATATATAGAAATTATTTTAAAAATGTTTATTTTTATAGAATTATTATAATTAATATAAAATACCAAAATGTCTTGTTTTTTTTTTTAATTTCATGCCCAGAGATTTTTAGAAATTATATATTTTAGTTAGAGTAATCATTTTAGCAACTAAGCTATAAAAATAATATATTTTGTTAAAGATTGTATTGAGCCCATCAAACGTTGATGACCTAGAGTCGCCACTAATATATATATGCTTTCACAGTCAAAGCTATGTAATCAAGGCATAAGTCATGTGACCAGTTTATGAGCATTATCCTCATTTAACCACATTTAACATGAACTTGAGACAGTTTCAATCCTGATATAGATCTTATTCTGAAATTGGGAAAATATATTTTGTTTTAAATCAGTTCTTGCTAACTGAATTTAACAATACTTGTTTTGATGTATTCTTGCCACCTAAATATGTCTTTTGCATATATATATATAAAACCCTATGTATGTATGTGTGTGTGTGTATGTGTATGTATATATATATATATGTATATCTACACACATACACATTGGGTTTTATATATGGAGATAACTGTTCCATTAGATGGCACAAAGATTAATTTCTGATATAAAATCCTATTTCTGAAACAAATCAAATAGAGCTTGACTCTTCAAACTTCTAACCATTACACAACTATCCTAATGTAGTATAAGTATTTTTTTTTTTTTTTTTTTGTTTTTTCTGTTTCAGTTGGTGGTAGAGTATTGTGAGACCCCAATCAAATCAATTGAAATCCAGTTGGTTCGGGTGGAGACCTGTGGCTGTGCTGAAGGTTATGCCAAGGAAGGTAAGAAATTTTCATCTTGGGATGAATGGTGATTGCATTAGAAACTATTAAGATATTGTGGAAGATCATAAGAAAAATCTTTTTTTTTTTTTTCTCGCAAACAAAATTGGTAAATGGTTATTTGAAGTTATGTAATAAAAAGCGCTCGTAAGGGAAAATCAAATTGTCTTTTATGCTGGTTTTTAATTCTGAGATTGATGTAATTCTCTAAGAACTGCTCTTATTTTTTTTCCTCTATTTCTCTGCCTGCCTCATTTCTTTTTCTCTCGTCCCTTCCCCTCATTTCTTTTTCTCTCACCCCTTCCCCTCATTTCTTTTTCTCTCACCCCTTCCCCTCATTTCTTTTTCTCTCACCCCATCCCCTCATTTCTTTTTCTCTCGCCCCATCCCCTCATTTCTTTTTCTCTCCCCCTCTCCTCATTTCTTTTTCTCTCACCCCTTCTCCTCATTTCTTTTTCTCTCGCCCCATCCCTCATTTTCTCCCCCCCTCCCCCTCTCCTCATTTCTTTTCTCTCACCCCATCCCTCATTTCTTTTTTCTCACCCCATCCCCTCATTTCTTTTTCTCTCCCCCCTCCCCTCATTTTTTTTCTCTCACCCTTTCCCCTCATTTCTCTCCCCCTCATTTTTTTTTTCTCTCCTCCATTTCTTTTTTCTTCCCCATCCCCTCATTTCTTTTTCTCTCCCCTTCCCTCATTTCTTTTTCTCCGCCCCTCCCCTCATTTCTTTTCTCTTGCCCCATCCCCCATTTCTTTTTTTCTTTCCCCTTCCCCCATTTCTTTTTTTTCCCCCTCCCCTCATTTCTTTTTCTCCCCCCCCCTCTCCTCATTTCTTTTTCTCTTTCCCCTTCTTTCATTTCTTTTTCTTTCTCCCTCCCCTCATTTCTTTCTCTCTTTCTCATTTTCTTTTCTTTCCTCCATTTCTTTTCTTTCGCCCCATCCCTCATTTCTTTTTTCTTCCTTCATCCCCTCATTTCTTTTCTCTCCCCCATCCTTCATTTCTTTTTCTTTCTCCCCTCTCCTCATTCTTTTTTTCTCCCCCCCTCCCCCTTCTTTTTTTTTTTCTTGCCCCTTGCCCTCATTTTTTTTTTTTCTTGCCTCCTCCCCTCATTTCTTTTTCTCTTGCCCCTTGTACCATTTCTTTCTCTTTCTTCTCCTCTGCTCCCATTTCTTTCTCTTTTACCCATTCCCTCTCATTTCTTTCTCTCTTTCTCCCCCTGCTCTCTTTTCTTTCTCTCTTTCTACCCCTGCTCTCATTAATCTCCCCTCTTTCACTTGCAACTTCTTAAAAGTAATTTTCATATACATTAGCACCGTGGTTCCCAGTGGGACAATTTGTTTTTTAAGGGGCCAATTTGAGAATCAGGATTTTAAAGATATTTAGGTGTGGCATAACCAAAAAATAGTTGGGAACCACTGGATTAGCATAATCTAGCACAAAGACTGTGTTGTTTTTTTTTTTTGTTTTTTTTGAGTCTTTACCCTATTTAAAAATCTAAATGTTGAAAGTCTGCCTGCCTTGAATATCAGCATTTAAAATCCTTAGCTTCTTACATTTGCATGGACCCCCGCCCCAGTTACTCCTGCCAACAAGAAGTATATACAATCATCTCAGCCACAAAGCAAACCAGAAAAAAATTGTCATAATCTGTTTTGTATATATGTATTTTATGGTCTGTTTCTGGTGTATGTTATAGTTTTTGTATTTTTCTTTCTTATTTACTATTTATTTATTTTTTTACTTTGTTTCTCTTTAATCCAGTTACTGAAATTCAAAACATTCAACTTGCTGAAGGAGATGTCTGTAGGAACTTGTCAATACCTATCTACATGATCTTTCCTAGGCTCTTCACCTGTCCAACATTGACAACTAATAACTTTAAAATTGGTATGCAAACTTTTTCATCATTTATTCTAAGTCTTATTATAAGTTATCTAATATCACAGAATGTTATTTTCTGCATGTTATCTGCACCAGTTTCTTTTTCTCATTGACTGTATTTAAATGTAGTGCAATTCTTGCTCAATGTCCAGCAATTCGCTTGACTATCTTTTGCACATACTTTACTTGCTTATGGAAAAGCAATGGTAAATCCAAACAGAAAACCTGGAGTGGAGCCCTAAAGGGAGTTGGCTGTCAACAGTAACATCTTTCCGGCAACTCTTGCATCCAAGCCGAATGCCCTGGTTTCCTTTGGATCTTGTTGTTATAGCTGAGAGGGAATGGGAAAGCATGTAGTCTAGGCAATGCATGGTCTTCATATACCACTGCCCAGACCTGTGCCCTGGAGTGGTCACTCTAATCTCACCACCAAAGGCCTGAATTTTGACCAAAAAGGGCATTACTTTTATCTTGTGAGATAAACGGATGCCTACTTTTATAAGTTTTAAGAATTAACATACAAAGTTTAACATTGAAGATTCTTTCTTAATCTTCCCTAAAACACAAAACCTGATTTTCTTTTGCCTATGAAAATAGTACATGTATAGCAGTAGAACCTTATGAAAGTAACCCAGTAATTAAATATCTTGTCATTATGATTGTACAAAAGTCATTCAAAAACTTCTAAGCCTTGCCCAGAAGGAGTTAGTGAAACAAGACAGTTTTTTTGCACTATTTTTCAATATAGCTGACGCAACCAATATCAATGCACAATGATCCAAGTCCTCCAAAAACTCCACCACAGTACTTGTGATCTTGTTGCGGACTGGTGATTGTGTTTAAATTGATCAGAAGGATTTTCGAGGCTGTGTTCTACAACATTCGTCCACAACAATTATTTAGAACAAATACTTGGAACAAATCATGCAAATAAAGTTGAAAACAAGACAAAAGTTGAATGCATAACATTAACATCAATTTATATACAATTTATACAAATATTCAAAGTTGTTCAAAGTTGCGTACCTTTATCTGCTCGAGAGAAATGGATTGTTAGTTACTGATACTTGTTATGTAGTGAGAAATATCACTTTAAAAGTATAGTAAGTGAAGTTCGAGAAAATATTCTAGAGAGAGATAGAGTTTGCTCGAAGGTTACTGAGTCAGTGAATATTTTAACGCGGCAAAGTCAGAGTTTATACTGGTGTGGAGTTGATGGGCATCTCTCTAGGTGTGGAGGTCTGACTGTCTACAGTTGGTAATTGTCTTTAACGTCTGGTCAGCAATGACTAAGATGGGAGTCGGTGAATGTTACATCTTGAAACTTGGTAATTACTGCTCCTCTCCTGAATGTTCACATGTTTTCTCTTTATATAATCACCGGGTGGCTCGCAGCGTATGAGCGGGAAAACAGCTTAGTCGCGTGCAGGCGGTTTGATTGGTCGGAACTGACCAATCAGCAAGCCAGATTGAAGGTGATTGACCAATGAATACTTGTTATATTGTCTGAAGGTAGAATTTGGCTTACTAGATAGGAAGAGTGCATTTCCTACAAAGAGGTAAGGCTGGTCGTGTTGTGGAAGAGTCTACAATCTCATCATTGTTTCCAAAATGGTGACCATGCTGGTGGGATTTGAGTTTAGTATCCTTTGCTAATGAATTCTTTAAAGGCTATTTTTAAGCTGCTGTTTGATTGTTGAAGATAGTCTCTTTCAAAAACTTGTCAATGTGCTTGAAAAAGTTGGTTGGAGATAGGTTTGATGAGTAATTGGCAAGAGGTAAAGTTTATCCAATTTCTGCATAGTCATTTGCAAAATATGCCATCAGAGATTGTTATGAAGAAGAACTAATCCTTTTTTATTAACCAATGTTGGATGGAAATTTTTCATTTCTTGATGATATTGGAAGCTTTAAATCCCTTTTGGAAGGCCTGTAATAAAATGGTTTTAATTTGATTTTTTTTCCATCTATGATGGACAAAAATAAACATTGAAAATAAATGCATTAATAAAAATTGAGGAACAAAATTTACATTTAAATTTTTTTTTATGTGAATTTAGTTTATTTTAAAAGGAATGTCAAAAGTTTGAAATAATGAAAAATCAGTTATTTTATACCAATCTAATATTAGTTTGTCCTTTTTTAGTTTGCAATTTTGTTTTTTATTAAATTAAATTTAGTGCAATTATCCTGAAATATTTTTTTTTGTCTTTTTGCAGAGTTTGAGATCAACATTGTCGTTGTTTTTCAAGATGACTACATGGTAACAGAAAACTTTCCCCTCATATTAACACGTTTTTGAAAAGACATCTGAATTGTTCAATTTGGGGATTAAAACGAACACCAGGTAACATGCCATTTCTTTGGCTGAACATTCAGGTTTGGGGGGAGGATTTTTTTTTTTTTTTCCACCTCCACTGATTTTTGTTTACTTCTTAACTCAAAATGAGTTAAGATGTACAAAACTCCAAACTTATTTCCACCAAATGTCCCACTCTTCATCATTGCAGATAAATGAAAATAGAAATTAAAAAGAGAAAAAAAAAATAGTTGGGTTAGCAGTTTCTTGTGTCAAAGCTGTTATGTTTTCAACTGACTTGAGTTGATAACGTGTTGCTGGATAATGAGAATAGAATCTAAGTAATGTAATAAAAACAGACATATTTATTAAAAAATGATGTGGTGTACAGCTATTTTATTTTTCTTCGATTGAGCTCTGATGAGAGAGAGAGAGGAACATGAACCAGTCAGCTTTCTATTTTTTTTCTTCTCTTTCCACCTTTCTTTATATATTTGTTTTTCAAATCACCATTAACTAGTAGTACCTGTGAAAATTTCATGGCTTTTCTGTCTGGATTTTTGTTTTCTTTCTTTTCTCACTGAAATAGTATCTTTGTCTTTTCCATTTTTTTTTTTTCATGATGAAAATGGAAAGAACAGTCTATTATTTATGAGGTATAACAGGACGTTTATTCCTTTTCCATTCCTTCTTTTCTTCCTTCTTTTCATTTCCTCACTGAAACCAAGTAGCATCTCTATATTTTCTCTTTCCACACAATCAAAATGGAATAATCCATTACTTAACGGGATGTTTCTTCCTTTTCTTTTTTCTTTCTCTTTCTTTCTTTCTTTTTCCTTCTTTCTTTTTCCTTCTTTCTTTTTCCTTCTTTCTTTTTCCTTTTTCCTTTTTCCTTTTCCCTTCTTTCTTTCATTCATTTTCTCACTGAAACCAAGTAGCATCTCTGATGTCTTTTCTGTCTTTCCACACAATCAAAGTGGAATAAACTATTATTTATGAGGTATTAACACGACGTTTCTTCCTTTTCCCTTCCTTCTTTCTTTCCTTTCTTCTTTCATTTATTTTCTCACTGAAACCAAGTAGTGTCTCTGATATGTCTTTTCTGTCTTTCCACACAAAATGGAATAATCCACTATTTATGAGATGTGGCAAGCATGTAACGTTCGTGCTAACTAAGGAACTAAGGGGCACACAGTATATTATAATAGTTCATTCTGTTTTTCTTTTTCCAGTTCATTTTCCTCTTTTTAATAAATATGTCTGTTTTTTTTTCCATAGCATTAATTAAATTCTCTACTCCCAAGAAGATCTTTAGAATAGAATCTGTATAAAATATTTCACTAAAGATAAATTCTCTGATTTGTGGGCAGTTATTTGAACCTATGATCACATTCTTCCTATTGGTGTGGATCAGCTGAATCATGGTAACAGTAAAAGCAATGAAAACAATGGGATCCTTAATCTGAAGAACTCTTGGAATGGTTTCAGGAAATAAAAAAAATAAAAAAAAGTAATTAATTTATATGAACAAAAATTATTTTTGGTGGCTACTTAAATGACACAAGCAGAAGAGAATTTTTATCTGTCTGCATTTAATAATTTTTGAGATAACAGAATCATTATAAAAGATGTCACTGTGCCATTACACAATAAACCAGTTTGTTTATTTCTTCTTTATCTGCCCTCCTTACTTGAAGGGCTTACAACCATATCACATTGAAACAATGGTTCTCATCCGATAACCAAAGTTAAGCAATATTCAGCCTGGTCAGTACTTAGATGGGTGACCACTTGGGAATGCGGGGTGCTGTGAGCTTGAGTATGTGCAGGTGGTGTAATGGATAGCAGATTGGAATGAGAAATCGGAGAGTTGAGTTCGAATTCTAGTCAAGTACCTTACATTTACCTATCCACAAATACCTTAGGAAAAGGTATGAATCTGCATGTTCTTCCCCTCCAGTTATGGGTTAAATAGTAGGACTTGTATCTGGAAAAGGTGTTATCTTAAAAAGAAATTGTTAATGCAATATTCTCTCACAAAGAAAGAAATATTCTTACAAGGCAAAAATGTTTCAGCTTTAACCCTTTAGCATCCGACGCATTATAAAACCACCTCATAAATATCGGCCATCAAAGTCTCACTGTTTTTGGGACTTCCTGCATTATTCACAGTGTCGTATATTATGGCAGATTTTACAGGGTACTGTCTATGCAAGGTTGAACATTGAGAACTGATATTTACAGGGCAGGTTTGGGCAGGTTGAATACTAAAGGGTTAAATAACCCTATATGGCCACATCATGTTTAAACATCGGTTCCCTGTGTGATCACCGAAGTTAAGCAATGTCAAGCCTGATCAGTACCTAGATGAATGACCGCTTTGTAAGCTTGGATGTGCAGGTGGTAGAATGGATAATAGCTAGGAATTGTTAATTGGAGAGCCAAGTTCTAATTCCATTTGGGTTCGTTATATTCTTGGGAAAGGTATGAATTCACCTATTCTCCCTTGAACTATGGGTTAATTAGTAAAACGTGTATCAGTAAATCATTATCTCTCCCCCAAATATTCTTATAACTCTTGAATTCTTACAATTTTTGAATGAATAAATCAATCACAAAGTGTTGATAAGGTGTAAAAGAAACCCCCCAAAATAAATCATATCCTTACCGATTCTTATATGCTTTAATAAACTAAAAACAGAAATTTTGATTAGGAAGTCAACCTCATGAGATCATCCTCCAATTAAAAAGGGTTTCTCTTTTTGTTCTGACTGCTTTCATAGTTGAGATAGAGTTGGACATTTTCTGATAAGTGTTTGAACTGTTGACTCATTTTTAAATATAAAAGAAATAACAGATTGCTCCTATGCTGTATGTGGAGAGACAATGTGAAAGATCAGATTACCATTTGAAATATTCATAAATGTACAGTCAAAATGCATCACCACACCAATATTTTTTTTCATAATTCAACTTGCTGAAAATGTCTGCTGCCTTGGATGCTTTACAGTTTATGCCTAATAACAGTTGATTCAAATGAAATGTCTCGGTTGTTTGCAAAATGCTATTGTGCTGGTAATAAAATAGAGAGAGACAATATATGACTGCTGGATGATGAACATGTTGACTTGTTGCCTTTACAAAAGACATTGAAGAGAGTTTCAGTAAAACGTCAATTGATATTGCTCAGACAAAGTAAGCTTGCCTTTTTTTCTTTTCTTTTTTGTGTGTTTGTATTGCTACCATTGGGTACATGTGGAAAAATAAACAAATTTTATACCTCTCTCCCATACAGAATCCTGTATGCTTATATTTCTTGAAACTGGATCAATATATCTTCCAAAGTTTTAAGTTCAAGGTGTGTGTGTGTGTTTGTGTGTGTGTATATATTTACATAGACAGGTAGACAAGTTTCATTGAATAATTTAGACAAGTTTTATCTGCTTATTTTCAACAGGATCCGTTCATATTCTTTCTGGTGTTGGTATTAAAAGAAGAGAAAATTACTGTATACATATTGTTTTATTCTGAGTACTTTTGACATTAACACAATATCATCCTCAGGGTGTGTTTTTTGAGACAGAAATGTAGTGTTCATTATTTCCAAAAACGAAATTGCTATGTTCATCTGAAATTTATAATTTTACATGCTGAGTGAGGACCACTAGTAAACATGCACATGTAAAATTGTAACTTTTAGATGAACATACCAATTTTGTCTTTGGAAATGGTAATTTTCTCTCTTTTTTTGAATGGATCCTATTGAAAATAAGCAGACAAAACTTATCTAAATTATTCAACAAAACTTGCCTCAATGAAAACATGGGGCCAAAATACACACAATATATATATATATATATATATATATATATATATATGAGACAAAGTGTAAAATTTTATTAACAACACATTTCACCAGTAGAAGTGTATTCACTGTTTAGTGTCTTCAGGTTAAAATGAAAGAAAGACAAAACTGTGTGAGGAAAATGCTTTGAGATCTCTGAAGAGAAGTGAGTATCATTAATCAAATTAATTACCCTAGCTTATCACCTCCTGATGTACAGACATGGAGAGTGTCTATCTGTCTGCTTGTTTGTTTTATCTATATTAGAACTGTTTGGTATTGTAGGATTTTAAATCTAGGAGATACATATAGACATCCCTCAATTAAACTTTTCGATTAGTGCACTAAAATTTTTACATACCAAAATTTGATTATAGCATATATAATACTTGATCAGTATGGTAAAACATTCTTCATTTTAAGCATAGTAATTGAAAATTTTTTTATAGTTACCGATGTACAGATTAGCCACACTAAGCAAGGGATTCATATATATATAGCCATGTGGCAAGGATGAGTGATGATTGCATACCAAAATTTCTTGTCTACAGTGAACTCCATAGTTGTCATAGAAATGTCGGTAGACCTTGGCTCAGGTATAAAGATAAACTGAAAAGGAAGCTTTCTTGCATCAATGTTCCATTCAAGAACTTTGAAGAGGTAGCTATGAAGAGATCAGAGTATCGTTCTTGATGCCATTCAGGAATAATACACCATCAAGAAGTAAGCATCAGTCGATTGCGTGAAACACGAAAACAAAATAAGACAACTAACAGTGTCTCCTGCTGTATTTGGATACAATACATTCTCTTTTACTGTTTGGGGTCTTTTGTGCAATTCTCAAGCTGGTCTTAAAAGTCATGCCTATCATAGGCATACAGATAATTAGTTTGTAGTTGTCAGAACCTCATACGTCGAACTTGGCAGGAGAGTGCATCATATATTTATTTATGTGTGTGCACATATACAAATACTTGCACATATGTGTACATACATCCGCATCCACCCAGGCACATACATAGACATTTTTTCTTTTTTTGCATAGTTTTATATACATGTACAACATATACATGCCTATCGATATATACATATGCATGCATATGCAGATCATAGATTCTTTTTTGATTTTTTCATCCCTCTGAAATCTTAAGGTGTTTTCCTCACACACAGTTTTGTTTTTCTAATCATTTTAACATGAAAATGTCAAAGAGAGCATACACTTCTCCAGCAAAACGCATCTTTAATAAAATTTTCCACTTTGTCTTATCATCTTGACTTTTGTTTCATGTACGCTTATACAGCCTACAAACACTATTTTATGTGTATTGTCCTGGAAGTCATTTGGGAGTGGGTTTTGTTTATAAAAAAAAAACATTACATACACACTCCTTTTATCCTAAAGATTTGAATGGAAAGCAAAACTTTAATATAAATTTTGTCATATCTGAATATTGCCTTTAAGATTAATTAGTAGAAATTCCAAATTCATAAAAATCAATTTGTCATCAGGTTTAAATCGGCAATTCCTGAATTGGCCATATGAAAATTGAATTAATCTTGAGCAGGCTTTTGTGTCAAAACAACCAATACAGCAGGTTCTGTAACATTGACTCAAATGGCTGCCAAATGCAATCCTTCAACAAACTTAAATCATACTGTGTACAAGTTTTCCACTTTGGGGGCCCACCAGCTAATTCTTTTTTATCATCTGCTAAATCAAAACAAACTCTTGTTTCTTCTTGGGTTGTTGGCAAATACTTCTTGGCTATTTCTGCCACCCATCAAACACTAAACGATGTTCTCTCCTTGCTACAACTTTCTGATTTTTCTTTTTTTATCAGATATAATTGGGCCCTTGTTTTGAATAATATGTGAGCATTTCCATTACTGTGTGTAGACTGGACTTGAAAATACTGATGTAATCTATTTATTTTGGTCTTTTTTTATGTATTAATCCTTGTCTCTACTGTCAAAGGTCCTGGGTATGATGATAAACTACATCCAGCAGCAAGATCTCTGATCAGGAGATTGGAGTTTTTGAGGAGCATGGAACCACCTCTTAATTGCTGTTGCCCCCAGGTCCACCCTGACCTGGAGTAGTAGCACTGGTTAGGGTCCCAGCGATGGGCAAATAGTGAACCTCCCCAAACAAAAATCAATGGTACATTTTATAAATTTTATAATAAAATGACCAACAATATATTTTATAGTAAAATAAATGCATTTTATAGTAATTTTAGCAGCAATACACTTTTATGATAAAATGACCAACAATGCATTTTATAGCAAAATGACAATCAATACAATGCTAAAAAAAGTATAAAAATACATATAGTAAAATTACTAGCAATACATTTTTGTAGTGAAATTGCCAACAATACATTTTATTATCTACAAACTATATATCTAAAAAACATACCATGAAAGTATAATGTGCAAAATATCTGTATTTGAAAGCGTAAAATATTTAGATTTCGGCATTAAATAACCCATAGAGGTGTTGATAAAAAATATAAACAAACCAAACCCTACATAAAAAAAAGTTTTTTGTTCTACAAGCCCATATCTCTAACTATGTATTTTTATATATGTTCTGGAAAAGTCTACACACACTAAATAGTTGAAATAGTGAAAATTACCTGAAACTGAATTAAGAGATACTCACTTTTATTTACTGCTAGAATTGAGTAATATTAAAACTGCTGAAATTGTAAGCTTTTGGTATGACCTTAGTGCCCAAACCAGATCTTCACTAATAAAATCCTAGTACAACAGTTGCTGTCAATTGTCACAGATCTGAACTTTTGTGTCTTGTCTCCAGATTGATTTTATATAAATCATGTTCATTCTACCTTTAAATTAAATAAAAAAAAAAAAATACAAACATTTTGCAAAAATTTGTATATAATGTTTAATAAACAATTCATAATTTAATCTAAATTTTTTTTCTTTATTTTTTAAAAAAAATT